CTTCTAAGATCTTAAATTTGGTAACTAGCTCTGGCTACCTCAGTATACTCAGCTGTTGTTGGATAACTATACAAAAAAAAGGTGCAAGGGGAAAAATTACTGTATCAAGATTAACAATCAGTGAATAAACATGGAAAGAATAGTGTTAAAATAGATGAATTAAAGTATTTTGAAGCTTTAGCAATAAACCCTCTTGACAGTGCATGCATTATAGTAGACTTCATTACTTTTTATAGTACTATAGTACTAAATGTGAAGATGCCCAGGTAATAAACTGAATCAATGAGAAAGTCATAGGTAATCAGAAGCAGGTCTGGAAACAGGAAACTGCATCAAATTAGTACAGTAGTAAAAAATTAAGTAGTACTCAAAAACATAATAATCAGGTTAAATACTTACAGAGTAAATTGTATCATGTCTTCAAATAAACTTTGTATAATCTTACGATAATACTGCCTTGACAACACCGACTTGTCCTGCTGTTTCAAAAGATCTTCCACATCATGTGGTAATACAGGTACTTGGTAGGTAAAGGCCACTTGGATAAAGAAGGCACATCACAGGCCTTGGTATACAGGTGAACTAAGTAGTAAAGTAAGTGAACCATGGATAGGCATGGAATATACATTCAAACTTTCCAAGGTCAAATAATTTCTATGTTGAACTTATTTTACATGCCAAAATTTTCCATTAATTAACAATCAAATTTAATCCATGTCAAATTACTTTCCTTTAGTTTGAATGAAAGATTAAAACAATGCTAAGAAAATGTTCAAAGTATTTTTTTTAATGTATATCAATGAATACACAAAAACAAAGTAACGGAAGAAAGGCAGGAAATTATTTTCCAGATAGTGCAATGCTTAATTATAATGTATGTTTTTATACCAAATTTAGGAGTGCAACTCATCAGAAGCTATGGCACTCAACATCATTTAAATTCAAATCGTAGCCTTTATGGTAAAACTTCCCGAAACGCTAAACAAAACGGTACTGTGTGTCCAAACACAGTACCATCGTTTAGAAAAATTTTACCATAAATACCATAACGTTTCGGGAAGTTTTACCATAAAAGCACTTAGAGGGCATCTAAAATTATCAGTTTTATTTAAGTTATATGTAGAAAAGCTAATATTTCTTAATTGTATTTATCCCCTTCCTTAATTAAGTGCAATTTTATTTTTCGATTCATTTTTCAGGACCTAAAAGGATTTTGTTCCACATTACTTAGAAACCCTCTCCCCTTCCCCAACAACAAGTATTTCTGAACACTCCCTTACCCAGTTGGTTAATTAATAATAATATCAGGTTGAGGTTAATGACATGGGCATAAATTGTCTTATTCAGGATTTCTGTTTTATATTTACTTTGTTGATATGCCATATTGGATATAATTTCTAGGCATAGGCCTACATTTGTCAAGCGTATTATTAGCCTATGCCTAGGCTAGAGGTAGGCCTACATATGAAAAGAAACTTTTTTTGTCTACATTTCCAAGTTTTCTGTCAAAATATTCTAGCAGAAGACAGTGACTGATCAGTGCCCAAGAAGTCTTCCTATTATAGGTCTAGGCTGGCCTTAACGAATTTAATTAATTTTGCTTAAAGTAAGCCTAGCCTAGGCGTAGGGCCAGGCTACGGGCGGGTGCCTGGGGGGTCTATCTATCTGATAGGCCCCTATTACTATTAGGCCTAGCCTAGGCTAGGCCTATAGGTAGAATAGGCCTAGGCCTAGGTTTGGTCTAGGCCTATTTAACTTACGCAGTTTTGTTATGGCCAAATGACTGATGAAAAGAAGAACCGACCAATAATGTTTAGACTTTTGATGGAAAGACGTCAACAACCAGACAAACAGTAATGAGGTTAGACAAGACATATGTGCATATAAACACAGGGTGCGTCGTCAACTGTCTGATTTCATTCAGCCGCCGGCGGGGAAAAAAGGCCTGCCCGCACACATTACACGCGCCTAACTGTCATTCGTCGTACGCGCGTGCACTTCTTTAAAGCCCCCCGCACACGACGAGATTTAACTGTTATTTTTGCTAATAAGGTGCTCACGTGAACTTGCTGAGGTGCTCATGTGAACCTGCTAAGGTGGATTTACTAACCAATCATGCGAACCTGCCGAGGTGCCAATTTCAACCAGGCGAGGGGCTCATGTAAACCTGTTAGGTGCTGATTTGAACCCGTAAGGCACTGTGATTACTCAAGGTGCCTAATATTTGTAACGACGTTGTAACGCGTAGCAGCCCCGACGCAGTCGGGAAGGCTCCCTGATTCGACCGACCAATCAGCACAAAGCTTGGTTTCCATAAAATCGCTAACCCTATCGGCGACAGTCGCCGACAGTTGTCGGGAAGATTGAACCTGGTTCAACTTTGCTGATTATTGCATTGCAGACGAATCGGGGTGGCGGGGTGGACACATGATTCTGTTTTGTCTGCAACGGTTGAACCAAGTTCAACATGCACTGTTGGCGAAAGTGTTAGCGATGTTTGGACACCAACCAAAAGCTGTGGGTAATTAGCGAATAGCGATTTTATGGAAACCAAGCTTTAACCTGCTAAAGGTACTCATGTTAACCTGATAAGGTACTCATGTGAACTTGCTAAGTTGCTCGAAAATGGACCTCTATGGGTGCTGATTTGAACCTTGTGGTGCTGTTGTGAACCCTGCAAGTAAAGTTGAGCCCCAAGTTACGAATTTGCACCCTTGATGTGGTAATAATGAACCCAATGAGATTTTCAGACCACTTGAAGTTGCACCTTCTGAGTCAATAATGCCCTTTTTTTTTACCACACGGCAACTAAATCACCCGTGTTTTATGTATATCCATTTAACTGTTTCATGATAATAGGATAAATGAAGGACTACCAGTGGTTTTTCATTTTAAATATAGGCCTACTTACTTCACGTAGGACTAGCACTGATGTAAAGCCATGAAAAATCTGTCATTGCTTAATTTTATTCAATGACGCTCTCCGTTATTGTAGGCCCTACAGATACTCAACCAAATCAAATAGGCTTTACAGAACCTGCTTGTCTAAAGAAATTAATGCTGGCCTATATTGAAACATTTTTCAAGGTAATACACCACATTTTTGTGTCGAACACTGGTATGAAACCCAAACAGAACATGTTTTGTAACTAATACTAGCTTTTGACAA